AATATACCATCTTTGATTGTTTTGTTTTCTTTTGCTTTTGAAAGAGTGAAACTTAAATGTTGACCACATAGGTAGCAGTAGTCTTTGCTTAGCCCATATGTTAAAGTAGAATACTTAATGGTACATTCAGTATTTCACAAATATTCTTATACCATTTCTAGCCAAAATGGTAAATGAATAATTTGTTATGAAAGATAATTTTCAAATGGCAAATGGAAAACATATAAAATGTTTTGGCTTTTTTCCACTCCCTCTGTTCTTGTCTTGTTTTGCATTAGCTGTTTCTTTCCATAAAAATGCGCTTTTAGAAGCCAGTAGTAACTATAAGGACATCCACCCACCGAATGTCTTGCGTACTACTCTTAGCATTTGGAAGCATTTAAGTTTATATTTGAGAACATTTGCATGAGATTAAATTAGTTTTATATAGAATTGCAACAGAAGCTGTCTCACTACAGTGAGACAGGGGAACAAGCTGTACACAGCAGGCAGAAACAAACAAATTGTCAGAAATTATCAACATCATTTTAGTCTGTGATCTATACTTTTATTATATTTTTTATGTTAACTGACTTCCCAGTAAACATTTAAATAATTCAAAAGTTACATTTTTGCTTTTGAATGTGAGAAATTTAATATATTGAATTTTTTTTTCACTCATCTGTCTAGAGGGTTTGAAAAAGCGGGAAAAAGATACAAGAAAAAGAATGGGTTTCATAGAGCCATAGTCATTAAAAGAATCTGAAAATAGCAACTCGCTATCATCTGTTCTCATCGCACGGGTCAGGAGCTCTGACACCTCCAAAATTCCTCCTGTCAGGGTAGGGGGCCATTTGTATTCTCTCTCATTAGGCAATTTGACTAATGACCTGCTGTGGCTGCAGAGCTACTGAGGGACCCAGAGCCTTGCGCCCTCTCTCTTTCAGCAGCCTGAACACACACCCTCTATTGGAATGGCACAGATGGCATGCCCGGGCGACAAAATAAACTACAATATGTCTCCGAGATGCTGTCAGGCCTGGGCACTATTTCTCATGTCAGAGCGGGGCTAAGGGCTGTGAGTGGGCATACGGGGTCCTCCTCCAGCTCTCTGTTCATCTACTCACCATTATCTGCAGAGGTGACAGAGAGCGGGGTCTGCAACTAGAATAGCATTTCCATGGTCTGCATAAAGAATCCACCTCAAATTGAGAGTCACGGCGACAGGAAGGGTATTGCAATGTCTAGCCTGGCTACAAATAGAAAAGAGGCAGCATCCAGTTGTTTGGAATATGAAATACATCAGGCTCCAGTAAATCTCTAACCAGTTTTTTTAGCAGCTTTACTTTATTTTGTGGTACTAAACAATAGAAATAAGTCCAATCATGAGTAAATATTTGTGATAGATGCTTATTCTTCCTTGTAGATTATTGCCCTGACTGTGGTGGGGGCGGCTGTGGCTCAGGAGGTAGAGCGGGTCATCATTTTTCTGCCCTTCTTTTTGTAATGGTGAAATATCTCAAAATTTAAATGCAGTACTGTAGTGTAACCCTCGATTTCCTTCATGCATCTCTGACATACACATCATGTCAGCTGCCCTTGGGGGCGGCTGTGGCTCAGGAGGTAGAGCGGGTCATTTCCTAACCGGAGGATTAGCGGTTCGATTCCCGGCTTGTCCAGTCAACATGTCGAGGTGTCCCTGAGCAAGACACTGAACCCTCAGTTGCTCCCGGTGATGTCACCGGTGTGTGAATGAGTGAGTGCTTGGGAGTGCGAATGGGTGAATGGCCGAATAATGTGAAAGCGCTTTGAGTGTGCTGTAAAGCATAGCAAGGCGCTATACAAGTATAAAACCATTTACCAAGACCATTACTGTGACTTTCTCACTTAATTCAGGTGCAAGACAGATTCACCCAAGTAATCATACTAGACAGAGATCAATGCAGTTCTGCTGAATTAGTGAAGTGTAAAATAAAAGTTCATCAACATTCCTAAAGTGTTACTCTTGTGTTGTGGTTCAGGTAATATGGGGTATGCTCGATCACCCACGCATATTTTTCCATCAGTCATTGTCAGAGCACAACTCGGTGTGGTTTAGGTGTATGTGTATATATGCCTGTGTGCACGGCCATGTCTGTTAGAGCCCTGGAAATGCAATGTATGGCGCTTCTGAAGTCCTGGGTGACAGTGCATCCAACAATGGAAGAGTGAGGGATTAGTGCTCAGCCCAGCGTGCGAGGGAGCCCTTCCCGCCCCGAAACAGTCATTCATCTGTGCCCAGGGGCTGGAGATGACAATGCAGCTATTGCTCATCGCACCTGACGGAGCCATTAATAAGGCAATGATCCACACAGGGCCTGTGCTGACTCCGTTCTTTACACTACAATCACTCAAGCCACAGGGTCCTCCTTACTTAACGCCACCTCTGCGCTTACCACCGCCATCATCATCATTATCAACATCATTGTCCTAGTCATTGTACCAAAATTCCTGCCAGATGTTTTCATATTGACGGCACTCACAAACTCCAAATGCCAAATAACTACCCAATTCCCCACACTACAGTACACTCATGAGTTAATGGAGTGTAGCCTGGCCATTTGAGTGGCTACAACATGCTTCATAGTGGGGTTCCTGGTCAGAAGATTGGATTTACATCATTTTTGCCCTTTGCACCTTTGAATTTCTCTGTGGTACAGCATCCATTCCTTACTACCAAGTCATCTCCTGTGCCTCTCCATTTGTCTGGATGTAAGATAGCTTCTCTAGTATAGATGGTGGAGGAATACAAAGTGAGATCTGGTTTTAAATTTAATCCTTGAGCAATAAAAAAAAAAAAAAAAAAAAGAAATGTCTGGCCTTTAGCTTTGTGCATTCATCTGTCCGTGCCACGTAGATCCATCAGCAGCTACAATCTCAGTTTCTCGTTGCTGGCTATTGATTCAGTGGTTTTCTCCCTGCCTATGTATGCCTGGTGTTGGTGCTCCCAGTGACACTGTCGTGCAAATTTTTTCACTTATTTTTGTGAGTTTAAACAAGCCATTGTGCCTAGCCAATTTTCCTGGCTTGCTTGATGCTCCAGATAGCCACATATTCAAAGCTGCTACAGGATGGGCAGCTGGAGCATTGGTCGGCCCGCTATTTTCACCCAGACTGAAATATCCCAAGTGTGGGATTAATTGTTACAAAATTTGGTTCAGACATTTGTGGTTCCCAGACAATGAATCCTAGTGACTTTAGTAATCCTGACTTTTCCTTAAGACTGATGTGTGTGTGTGTGTGTGTGTGTGTGTTTTGTTTGTTTGTTTAAGAGAAATATCTCAGGTGTTGGATTGAGTTTGGTACGGGCACATATGTCCCCTTCATGATTGCAATAACTTTGGTGATCCTTTAATTTTTCATTTAGTGCCATCATCTGGTAAAAAACTCAACTTGTTTGATACTTTTATGACTAAATACTTACAAAGCTAATCACTTCCCATCAGCCTCAGCTGTAATTGCTTTGTGCTAATTAGCAAATGCTAACAGGCTAAAGTAACATGATGAACATGGCGAACATTTAACGTGCTTACATCAGCATGTTTGCATTGTTTTTGTGACCATGTTAGCATGCGGACTATAGAGCTGAAATGATTAGTCATTTCAGACATTTTACCTACAAGAAATAGTTAAAAATTGTTTGCTGCTTTAATAATAATTCATTGTAAACTAAAATAAGCCTACCTTTAGACTCTGAAGTTTTGCGGTCAGGGAAATGTACTGGGTACGATTAATCACAACAGTTAATGGTTGATAATATCGATAATGGAAGTAAGTGTTGGTTGCAGGCTTAATGCTAACATTAGCATTTAGCTAAAAGCATTGTACATCCTTACACTAGCATGGCTGTAGACTCTTGTTTGTACTACATCTTTACTGTGGGAAATGATTGGAACCCAAAACGCTAAATAAGACTTTCAGAGAATGAGGGTCATGTCTTTATTACAAAGATCTCTGTGCTACAGTTGTGTAGAAAGTGCCAAACTGTGGATCTGTGCAATACCAAGAGAGGAATGCAAGCCACAAAAATGTCAGTGAGGGATATTTTAGAATTTCATACTTCTCAGCATTGCTGTGAACAAGAAAAACCAAAAGGAGAGTCAACTACAAAATGATGACTCACAAACAGCTTCGGCTTACAGTGGCCTGATGGACTGTGGGTTAAACAAGACTAGTTGGAAGCTTGGCCTCTTGATATTTGAGGCTCCTGTCGAAGCCAACGGCTGCAGAGTTTTGTGCTTCCAGATTTGAGAGTTTTATAATGAAGCCAAGCAGCTGCAGTTTTCTCTTCAGAGTTGAAACGAGAGGCTTTGTGTCCCTTGTCACCCTGTGTTAATTTGGGCCCTAATGTATTTTATAAACAAAGGGCTGCTCTCTAGCCTGACAGTCGTGACACCTTGATTCCAGTGCAGGATGCATGCAGTACGGGGTTACACCATTAATAATCAACTGGCAGCCATCACACCATTTTAACCATGATCATTATGATAAAGGGCATACACTTAATTACAGGCCTGCTTAATTATAGCTCTGTTGAAGCTCGTTTGTTTGGTCAAATGCTAATTATACCACCACGCTCTTGGCAAGTCCTCATTTCAATCCACTTTTTGCCGGCTGAACAGTGTGGCTTATTTTCATGCAAATTTGATATCTGGTGAATGTTTTGTCTCTCTTCTTCCCGCTTTTCTGTGCCTAGTGTGAGTGTGTCTTTGTTTCGAAGGTGAACATCTCTCAGACAAGACTGAATCGGGAATAATCAAGAGTAATTAAACTAGAAGAGGGTTGGGAAAGGGCTGGGTTGGAGGAGAGAGTAAGCCTTTCATCTTCTCTCTATAGGAGGGGAGGTGTCAGGCGGCTGGGGATGTTTATAGCTCTGCTGTTTTATAATCCCATGTTTAGTCTTGTGAAAATACTCCGGATCATATATATTTGTATAAAAGTCAACCCTAAACTTTTTGTTTTTTCTTATTTCCTTTTTGTAGCTCTGGATGATGTGCCTTTTGTGATCTCTCAGAAGTTTTGTGACAACCCCAAAGAGGTAAAAATTCTCCATGAAACTAGTAGCCAAATGCATAACTTCTTTTATATCCTATGTAAATATGAGAGTGGTAATGATGGTTACTTGTCCTGCAGCCTCTCTTCAGACCGCCACTCCTTTCCTTTCCTTTTCTTAGCTTTCCTTTCCTTTCCTCCAGACTGAATGATGAATGCATGCAGTCAGGCAGAGCTGGCTCAATACAGTCCATTTGGCTGGCTGGCGGCAGTTGTCACTATAGCCCCGTTTGTATTGACACAGAGAGAGAGAGGATTAAAGATTTTAAGCATGCTTACTTAGCCATGAGCCTAACCGCCATGTTTCTTGTGTGTTTTTTTTTCCCCTCCTTCTTCTCCCTCCTCCTCTCCCTGCTTTTGATTTCAGATGCAGCAAGTCAATTTAATGGGCATTACGATCAAATCCCTGGCAGAGATCGAGGAGGAAGTGAGTAGAGGCTGTAACGCTCGGCTGACACTGACGCCGCTGGCCCAGAATGCAAAGCAAACGGTCTTGGGGTTGTAATTAAGTGTCTGAGACAGCGAGGCCCTGTTGGCTCCACTAAGCCCCAATTGAATAAAAGCATGACCAGGCTAGGCAGCCGTTCTCTCTTAAAGGCTTCGCGTCCTGTTCCAAAACACTTGACTATTATTCTCCAGTTCATCTCTCAAACAGCTCAATTTAGCATCTCGCACAGTGCTGTAGTTTCTAAATGTTTAACTTTTTAAGTTAAGTTTTTAAACAGCTTCATCTTCAGCTGTGAAAAAGTTTGAGATCATGTCGAGCAAATAAAAACGGTATCCTGTTTCTAATGAAACACTGTAGCCTGCAGGCACTCGTAGGAAGAAAATCTTCTGGTGTGCCTCTTCTTCTTTAGAGCCCATGTGTTTGTGAGAACATGTGAAAGTGAGGGTGTGTGTGTGTGTGCTTTAAAGAGAGTGACAACCCCCCTTCTCTCTCATTAGCACGGTATCTTGGTATCAGAACTGCCAGGAAGTGACAGACCACTGTAAAAGAACAGGTGCTGTTGGGTTTGAGATGTGTTACAGAGCAAACACTCCCTCATCAAACCGGGTGTCTGTTCTGCGCTCTGCCTCTGTCTTCTGTCACATACTATCCAAATCACACAGAGTCGCCATCTTGTCATATGGTCATCTGAATGAAGCTCATTGTCAGCGCAGGTATTAATGCTGTGTATGTGTCTGTGTATGTGTGTCCAAGGTGGAGACAGGCTGGCTGCTCATCTTATATGCCTTCCCCCCCTCCACCTTCCTCGCCGCTCCCTCTCCTCCTTCCTTTCTTCTCAGAGAGTGTGATTAGCAGGAGGACACATGGTGAGCTGAGCTGGAGAAGGGAAGGGAAAGGCATGAGAAATCATTAATTACAGCCGCGCTGGAGCTGATGAAGTAAATGTGAGATAGTGTAACACACAGGATTTAGTGAACTGGACGACAGCACAAGATTAATGGTGGGGCCAGGCTGATGAGGATGAAGTCACAGCTTAGCTTGATAATTAGTTTCCAAGTGGAAACATCCCTCACCGTTGTGTTATTTGTACCTCTCTCCTCTTATTATTATCCCACAGTGATATCTTCAGACTAAGGGGGAAATACAGTGGGTGATATTCTCGCAAACATGTTGGACAGCAGAAGTGTTTATTTTAGAAAGTGAGCCTTGACTGTAGTGTTGTGTTCTTTTTTTCTCTGTCTCTCTCTCTTTTTTTCTAGCCTTGGCTTTTGGCCTTGTTTTTTATGATTAATGTTACACCATAAATGTACAACTTCCGTTATGTCTTCTATCTCAGAGCTTCTGTTGAAGTGGTGACTCATTCTTGGGGTGTTTAGTATGAACCTGTGCCTCTAATGTTGCTGAGCGTTTCCTCCTTTCGGTATCCAGGAGAGGTCACTGTCCGTGCTTTACTGTGGGGCGTGTTTCCCCTCTTCAGAAAGCTAGAGGCACTTTCTGCACAGAATTTAATTGCCTCATTTCAAAACCCATTAAAAAAACATAGATTCATGAAAGAGATGTACTTTCTAAAATTCTACATATGCACATGTAATTGAGGAAAACTGTTGTAATCACAGCCACAGTTGTAGATAAGACCATTTTCTAACAGGCATCACTTAAGCCATGTCTCAGATGATGTTGGTTCCAGCAATTAGGCATTCTTTTCATTTCCCAAATGACTCGCAAAACTTGTGGAAATTATAATTGCTTTTAGCCACGCATATCTAATTTGTGTCTTTTTAAGTGTTAATTAGTAGGCGATTTAAAGTGACGTCTTTATGTAGTTTGCTCTGCTGAAAAATGTTGTTGGCGGCTGGCTAATGATTTTCAGAGGGAGAATATGCCAGGGTGGGAAGAAGTGTGTGTGTGTGCGCACATGACAAGACTTTCATTAGCACCTGTGTACTGTATGATGGGTTTTCAGTGTTCATAGGGTGTTACCTGTGTGTGTGTGTGTGTGTGTGTGTGTGTGTGTGTGCAGGTGTGTTTCCAACTGAATGTATGGAAGGACAGTAGTGTACAGGGCTATGTGAGAGGGAGAGCTCCAAATAGAGGTGGAATTAATGAAGACAACATGTCACATATTTTTGGCAGTGGAGTAGGGACAGGAAATGAAGCTCAGCTCGTCTGGGTGACTGCCGCCCATGTTCTAGTGTGTCACTGTCCTGTCAGCCTGTGTGTAAAACTGGCAGACATTGATACATGCTCTCCCTGATAACACCCCATTCCCCCATCCATCATCCACACACATACACACACACACCCCCACACACAGGATTATTTATTTACTGTGCCAGATGTTGAGACTGAAATTTTGTGTGGTGGGGGGGCTGAATTTCCTCACAACTAACAGGCTTGTGATTTGTGACAGGTTTTGGGTAACTTGCAGCTTCCCCTCAACTCGCTGAAAATCAGGGAAAGTGTGTGTGTGTGTGTGTGTGTGTGTGTTTTATCGAGAAATTCCCCTTGCAGCCATTGTGGCTCCATGGTTTCTGCAGGAGATTTAGAAACTTATTTCAGTGATCATACAGCATCACCTAGTGCTGTGTTGCAGTAATACAACTCGGTGAAGTAAGCACCTCTTTGTGTCACAAAACTTAACTGTTTAGCCAGTGGAGCCACATCCACAACAAAATGTAACTGTTGAACTATCAACTAATCAAAAATTATAATGTTTGTTATTATAGATTATTTGATTGCTTTAGTCACATTCCTTGGGAACTTTCTTTTTTTTCATTCATGTCTAAATGTTTGGAATGAAAAAATAGTTTTTGCTATATATATATATATAATTGTGGATCTTTCACATTATAGCCTGTAGGTTTACCTCAGGACCAGAGGTGATCTAGTTTGCTTCTGGCACTAAATTTTAAAATATCTACTCAGTAGTATACAGAAAGTTGATATTTTCAGTGGAAGGGAGGTAAAATAAATATCTGGAGACTCAGTGATACAGTCCTGCCTTCTATACAACGCCAGAAGGGGGCAGTGTTTTTCTATATTTTCTCAATCACCATGCTGGAGGACCACATAATCACTAATTGCTTGCAGCTATAGGGTGAATAACAATAATTCAGTAAGGTTTTAATCTGCGGTTTAATTTTCATCAATATGTTACATTTTCTATATGATGGTGCTGTTTATGTGAGCATTTCTCATAAAAGTATATTCTTGGTTGCCTTGGATTCTTATTGATTGATGTTTTTTGTTTTCCTCAATATACTTTAAATCGCCAATGTCTACTTCCTCTTTTTATTCTTCTTCTTCCAGTTTTACTACAACTTCGGCACTGAACGAAGCATTTCTATGTAACTTCACACTCGGGCCTCTCAAGCTGCCAGAGCCATGAAGACTGGAACATTACAGATGGACAAGAGGGGTCATTTGTAAAATGATTAACTAAAGAAATTAAGGGATACACCGAACCATACTGCATATGTTGTAATTTTAAACAGAGAACATTTTTACCTTGTTTCTATTTAAATGATTTAGTTTTTGAAATATTTTTGATCATGTACACCTTTTCATGTTCCGTTTTATATTTTCTACCAATTTATCCTAAAAGTAGCTTTTCTGAATTTCTGTTTTGTCTTATCTTACTCAGGTAGTTGTTCAAAATAATGTCATGCTCAAATAACTCTAATATCTCTAAACAGATTCATTTGTAAAAGTATATGAGCTGTGCCTCACATTTCGCTCATCAGAACAACAGGGCCGTGCTGACAGGGAGTTGCAGTCAAGGACACCGGGGAGCAGAGCGGCAGCCTCATTACACACAGAAACAGGCCCTGCTGATGTTCATTTTCCAGCACAAAGTTCATCATGAGCAGCGCGCAGCAAGATTCAGCAGAACCTTTTCCCCCAGGTGGCCCGCCCCCCCCCCACGTCATCAGTGACTCCTCTGCTGAGTCAGGTTTTTAAGAACAGAACAGCTTTAAGTTTGTTACTCCTTCTGTAGCTTTAAGGAGAGTGGTTTGAAGAAAGAGGTGTTATTAGGGTAATTTGATGAACGTCAAAAAGTGTTTTTATTTCTCTAACAGATTTAAACAATACTCCGCTGAAGAATGTAAATTTCCACTTGGATAGCAAAACAACACGTTCACTTCTGCTCACGTGTCATTTGTAACTAATTAAACTGTCTGAATTCATTTGAAAATTAGTATTTGAAACTCATTAATGGATTAATGTCCCTCTACCTAAACTCTTCAAATAAGTTTGTGACCTTATGGATACGACTAACAGTGCAGGGTTTTTCTCCTGACCAAAATTCCTAATGGCTTTTGGTAATTCTAGGAGTGTAATGAAGCATACAACAGATGTCAACCCTGTACGAGCAGCTGCGTTAACTCCTCTGTTCTGCTGCTGATATCAGAGCGACAGTATGAGGAATCCTCTGCAGAGGGGAATGGCTTTCACGCTCCTTCATGAAGGTGACACTTGTGTCGGTGATGCCTTAGAGCACAGTGACAGTCTCCGACAGTCCTCCTCCCTGCTGTGCGTTAAGCGCACACGTGCAGAACGCCTCATGTAAACACAGTCACACACATACAAAAGGTGTAGCTGTGACTTTACGTTTTCCACCATTAGGCATCTGTATGTAAAACGTAATATGCCAATGATTGAATCTATTTAACATTTTAGATAATAGTTTTAGATAAAATCAGTGAGATTCTATACTTTTCTTATGACTAACAAATTCAATGAAAAGATCCAACATCAACAACAAATATTGTCAATAGTTTTAAGCCTATACTGTGCAGTATATCATATTCTTGTGTGTCATAGACTTCAGTGGTTGTCCAGAAACTATTAAAAACACATTTGGTCCACACTGTCGCACTGGGTGACGTGTTCCTTCATAACAATGATTGGCCCTAAGTTTAAAGTGATCTCACATCCGCCATATGTACTGACTAAAGCATCAAACGTGTGTTAATCCACAGCTGCAGTTTTCACTTTTGTTTGAGTAACATTTGTTACAAAATACTGTATAATTTCCAGCTGTTTTAGAAAAATACAGTAGTTAGCCTTAAAAACAGACTATATGTTCTTGGCCTGTGTTAAAAGATTTATCTTTTCAGCTGCAGCACATGTGCTTAGACCTGAGAGCCACTGACAGATAGGGAAGTTGAAAAGTATTAAGATATGGGCTACTGCATTTCTGGTTTTGTTTTTTTGTGAGAAGTGTTTACAGTTACAAAACTGCAGAAAACAGCTTCATCCTTGTTTCCCTTTCAGTTCAGTTCTCATTTATACTTTATGTTGGAATACAAATCTGCTGCTATTGAGATAGTTGGACAGTAGGTTGATTCTGCAAGTCAGATGTGTTTAGGATGAAATTGATCATTAGTTGGAGTTTTGTTATGAGTGAAGCAGTGTAGCTAAGCTCTCCACATGGGCACAGCACAGTCTTTCTCCCTAATGAGCCACGGCCAGCGTCACCTATCATCAAGCTGCCTCACATAGTTTAGCATTTGTTTTCACTCCTCTTTATGATATTAAAACATGCTGATGATTTTTGGAGACCACACTTTTAAAATGGAAATGGAAACAATGTTTTTATTGTTGTGTAGTTATGGGCTGTTGTTTCTAAGCACTCCACATATGGCAGATTAGTTTCAGGGTTTCATCATTTAAAGTATCTCTCCGTTTCTAATTTGTTAGGTTCCTCAGTCACTGCGGCTGCATTGCTGGGAGGATTTGGCTCCCACAAAGTTGAGCTAAACTGCAGAGCAGCACATCAAAGCCCCACCCTTTTAGAGTCCGCCAGATGGTCCCCTGGTCATTTTTAAACTCACACCCCGGCTCATGACATGGAGCAGTGTGTAAGCATGTAGACAGAGGTGGATGGGCTGCTTGGAAATTGGAAAAGGAAGCCTGTATTTATGAGGTGGTTTGAGGAGCTGTGTTAAGAAGGGCTTAGCCTGCCACTCTCCCTCTGACAGCCCTGTTTCCCCCCAAGCTCAGGTGACCAGAGCTAGACAGAGGTGAAGGAGTGAAGGCAGGAGGCCTGTCAAAGCAGGTCCAGACCAGAGCTGGACCCACAGTGAGCAAACTCCCAGGCAGGTAATGAAATCACATGGAAAAAAGGCGTACAGCCACATCTAATGTTCGCTGCATTTGTATTTGTACTTTTTGTATTAATAATAAGAACAAACCGGAAGAAACAGAATTTGTGCCTCCTAATGTGATTCCTTAACTTTAGTGCATGATGGGATAGGCTCCATGGTCTTTAACAGGAAAGGCTCCTAAGAAGAAAAAAAATCAATAAGCAACGTGTTAATATTTTAATAAAGAGGCAGTGAAACACTTGCTGTACTCTTACCATTTGGTGCTTACCTCCAGCAGTTATTAGTCTCTTCATTTCATGTTGACATCATCAAGTGTTGGAGAGCCCCAATGGGACGTCAAGCAAGAGGTTAGAAGCGTGGTCTTCCTCATGCTGCCACCTTAACAAGCCCCCGGCCTGCACTCCAAGGAGAACCGCACATCAAATCTGTCTCTCTGTACTTCAGCTAGAGGGAAGACGAGTGATCTCCCAGAGCAGGGATCCCACCCCCACACAGCGGCACAGCAGCAAGCCCATGTGAGTCAAATTATTGTAATTGAGCAGGGATGGAGCTGGGTGTGAGGTGATCTCTTTCTTCATTCCCTCCCTCTCTTTCTCTTTCTCTGATATTTCTGCACATGTTGCAAAATGACCAGCAAACATCTTTTTTTCCCCGCCAACACTGCCTGTAACATAGAAAACAATTAACTCCTTTCAAGTCAGATCAAAGGCACAATGCACAATCCAGGTCTCCTTACAGCGTAACAGACAATTAACCCTCCCTTTGGACGTGACCAGGCTGGCCAAATGAAGGGAGGCTGCTGCCACAGTTCACATGCATGAAGTAGTTGTAAACAAAGAGGAAGCGACTGGACAGAATGTGTCACAAGCATTCCTCTAGTTGTGTGTTAACCAAAAGGATAACTCTTAATCTATCTGCTGAAGACGTCATGACAAGGAAAATGTTTGTGCTATAGCTGCCATGTGGCTGACATGACCATGAACTGATTGAGACCATGGGCCCCTGAGCACAGACATAAAAGTCCCCCCTCCCCTCCTACATGACAGCAAAACTGAAAGACACAAAACAGCTACAAACGATACTGCTGTGTAATTTGTAGTCATTTTGTCTTTTTTTTGTCACATTGCATCTCTTTTTGTTTTTTTGATGTTTCTAGCCAGTTTGCGTCTCTTTGTAGTAGTTTTGTGTGTTTTTGTAGTTGGTTTATATTGTTTTGTAGTCATTGTGTCATTCCAGATGTTTTTTGATTCTCTGTGGTTGTTTTGAATCTCGTTTGCATCATTTTGGGTTTTTTTTTTTTTGCATTTGTTTTGCCAGGTCTGCACTGGTTCTTTTCATTTAAAATCTTTCTTTGGTCATTTTGGCTCTAGCCCAGGGGTTTCTTGACCCATTAAGCCCATTCAGTAATCCTTATGGGCATAGTGGCACAACACAGGAGAGCATCTAATGGACTGGACATGAGGGAAGCGAGTGCAGCTTTCGTCCACACACAGGTGCACTGACCCTGTCCACCCCTGAAGGTGCCACTTGCATTTTATTGGACAGTTGTGGCTGGCGAGCCTTTTTAAACAGCCACCTGGATGCAATAAAGGTCCAGCCCATGAGCTTTGACTGCCCAGAGGATTTCCCAGCAGCTCCCTTGGGATCTCTGGCTAGTTAAGATGTTTATTAAGCTGAAAGTGGTCCAGTGGGAAAACACCACACTTCTGAGAGATTTGGGCCAGCAGTTTTCTTGTTGGCTAGAACGCTCCCCGGAGGGTTGAGTTTCTTTTCCTGTCAAACCTCGGAGGGAGGACAGGGTCAGTTCACAGGGCACGAGGTTGACCAGCTGGTAACTAGGCACATGAATCCAGGATGGGAAATATCTAGAGACCATCAAGGTCAGCTTGGAATGATTCCCATAGTTGGATAAAACATGCCCAGATGTTTAGCATATCAGCTAAACACATCATAGAGTGGTATAGCCGCTAGTACAGTTGTCTAAATTCTAGGAAATATCTTGTGGAAGCAGCAATACCAATAAGAGTATAGAAAGTGGGTTTCAAGGCTTGAATCAGTCTGTTAGCAGGCTTATTTTTTAGCAAGTCTTTCAAAAGAGAGACTTTATATGTTTAAAATGACTGGTTTTCTTGTCACAGAGCTTGACCTCACTGAACTCTGCTGGACCTCTAGTTCAAAGCCTTGGTCTTTAGCTTCAGGCACTCTGCTCTAATAACTTCAGTTAGCCCATTAGGCCTTGTTCTGCTTTCTAAAGGTTTATCAGCCATACTCTGCTGAAAGGAGAACTCACTGTGCCATATTGTAGATAATATTGCATCTTTGCTGCTCAGTTTGAGGAACGTATTTGTCCACATTTAATGTTGAACAAACTGCAGAGCCTGTGGTGAATGAACTGGGCAGCACATGCGGCCGGCGGTGGGTTTTTAGTGCTCTCTGCCTAATGTTCAGGACAGATTAGAAATGTTCACCTGTGACAGATGCTGTCTAGCGCTTCACTACCAGATCCTACCAGCTGCAAAACATCTGGTGCATTTCTACCTTTTTCTCTGAAGTGTAGCTTATTAATGACACACTCGCCTACATGCACATTTAATACACAAAAACATAGCCAGGTTGTTTGATTGAAGCAGAGAAAAAGACACATTTCCTCGGTCACCAGATTTCCTGCATATTTTGTTTCAATTGCAGTGATTCATTTGCTCTTTACCTGTTTTTTTTGTGTATGTTTGCAATGAAAAAAGGCATTAATTTCCATCTTTACTTCATCCACAAAGTCTGTGAGTGTACAGATTTTCTGCATTCCACATGAGGAGCAGGTAGCGAAGACCTACACTTGTTAATGGCACACGTCCTAAAATCATGCTCCTGGTCTCCCTGTAGCCCAAAGTTTTTTTCATCAATGGAAGCATTATTTTTGAAGAGGCAAATCCACTGAATAACATGACAGGCACTGAAATATGCACATGAGCCAAACTCTTTTAAAGTTTGTGGATGCCTTTTCTCAAATAGCAAACTATCGTTTTGTTCCTGTGCTGCTCCTTCACTCAGCACATCTGTGTGGGATACTGAATGGAAAACAGATTCAAGACTCTTAGAGATACTCATCAACAGCTGGAGAAAGTCGCAAATACATGCGGGTGTGTTTCTCATGGAGACATTTGGAGACCATGGTTTAATTTAGTTAATTTTTGTAAGTTGTTCCTTGTGAGTCTGAACAGTTCAGGCTCGCACGAGAACTTGTTTGGCCTTCGCTTGTGAATGAAGTTGAACAGAAGGAAACGGGAGATTCTCACATCACAGAATGAGAAGCATTTGTTATTTCTGGGTTTCATAATGAATCACCTGTTACCGTGTGGGGAAACAACCTCTTGGAGATGTTTTGAAGATAGTCCTTTGGAAACAGAAAAGTAGTTATTAGCCTTTCACAAAACATTTGAGATCTGTTTTTTATGACACATTGCTGACGAAACTTTGTTCTATTTAAATTTTAGTGTTTGAACTTACAACAACCAAAAAGTATGAATTATTTCTATGTGTGTGTGTGTGTGTGTGTATGTGTGTATATGTATGTGTGTATATATATATATATAATGCTGTGCCACAACAGTTGTATGTATACTACAATGGGGACCATGAGGGTCTGTTTCTACAGAACCTTAGTGTGTTGCTGTGCACGAACGCAGCACATTGTACTGCCTGGTCTTGTCCAGCAGGGGATGATGTTGTAATTCAGATTCAGTGGGTTTCTGGGGCTCAGCATACAACTGTGAAGTACAGTAATGTGTTTGAGGCAGAACCAGGCGCATATCTGATCATGGATCCGTGTCATTAGATAAGCCTGTCTTCCA